TCTGTACTCTCTCTCTCTCTCTCTCTCTCTCTCTCTCTCTCGCTCTCTCTCTCTTAATGTACATGAAACTCCAGCCTATGGTCTTCATGCTCCAGCACCTCTGATCTCAATCTCTTCCTTCCATGAAGTGGCACCCCAAAAAGCTTAACAGTGTTGATGGGGTCTTCTTCTTCTTCTCCTAAGTTCCTTTCTCTCTCCTCTGTTTCCTTGAGAGGATCCTCAAAACCTATTGAATCATGGAGTCTTTGCTGGGTTATCAATGGTGGGTCTGAGAACTTGGGATGGGGCACTGGTTTTACATGGTTTTGAAGGAAATAGATGATGCCATTGTAGAGCCTTCTCATATGAGAGAGCTCAGATAAAAGCAAAGAGTTGCTCCTTCTCAGCCTCTTGTTATCTTCTGCTAAGGCAGTTGCCAAATCAGTTGTGTTTGGAGAAGAGAGAGGAGATTCAGGGTAGGTTTGGAGCTCATCAGATTCAAAGGGTTTGGTGTAGAGAGAGAAAGTGTTTAGATGAGAGAGAGTGAGAGGAGGAGGAGGAGGAGGAGGCGGGGGGGGAGGGTGTGTGGCTTTTCTTCTGTGGATTTCACATAAGAGGTGCATTTCTCCTCTTTTGAAGAACTCATTTGCAAATTCCCATCGATCAGGAACCACCTTCCTGAATCCCTGTGACAGGAGAGAGAGTGAGATATCATTAGTTTGTGCTTATCAGCTGCCTGCCCCTCTTTCTCTCTCTAGATATATATAGATATAATATTATGAGTTATTTATATACGGATTTTAAATAAGTTAAAAACATACAAGTTTTTTTTTATACCCACAAATTACAATAAATAGGTTAACACAATCTCTTTTTTTTACACACACAAAAATAATTAAATAAAATGAAATGACCTCTCTCTCTACACACATAAGCCTAGTTAAACAAAATAAATGATCACACTCTATATACACACACAATCATAGTTAGACAATCATAGTTAGATAAAATGAAATGATCTCTCTCCCTCTCTCTCTCTCTCTAACATACACCCAAGCTTAGGAGAGGAAATGAAGCTACTTCTCTCTCTTCTAACATACTACAAGCTAAGTAGAGAAAATGAAGTGATTTCTCTCTCTTCCTCTCTAACATACACAAGATAGCAATGAAATGATCTCTCTTTCTCTCTCTCTCTCTCTCTTTTCCTCTCTATCTCTCTCTATCTCTTTATCTTTCTCTCCATGTATCTCTCTCTTAGTTGAAGAGCTCGAGAAATAGAATGATTAGTCCTATATAACAAAATGTGGTACAGACTAAGGTATATATCACATCACTCAATTAAAAATCCATGAGAATGATGCTGCAAAAACCAAGAAATTGATGCCCATCACTCCATTGGAGCAAATGAATCTCAGGTGATAACCTCATGAACAAGAATCTTGAGGTTACAGAGAATAATGGTAAAAAAAATATATTGCAGTACACAAAGGATAATAGTAAAATGAATCAAACCATGAAACATCTTACAAATCTGGTACAATGTCACATGTGATTCCAAGTTCCAACAATGTTGATGAGAGAGAAAGAGAGAGTACACATCAAAGAAACATGAGAGAGAAAGGGAGAGATCAAAGAAATCTGCACCAGGGATGATTTAGAAGGCTGAAACACTGAAGAAAGAGCCATTTCTGAAAACACATGCTCCAAATCAGTGTCATGGAACTATCATACAGACAAAGACAAATAATGCAGACCCCCATGAAATCACAATGCCTTGTAGTTCCTTCAAATAACTCAGAACCTTCTTAACTCCCAGTGAAGTGTCCCCAGAAAAAGGAAAACTAAAGTGAACCTAAAGAGAGAGAGAGAGAGAGAGAGAGAGAGAGAAGAGAGATACACTACAACTGTGTGTAGGAGAGGAGACACTACAAACGTGTGTGTGAGAGTAGAGAGAGACACTACAAACTGTAGAGAGAGAAGAGACAGAGACACTACAACGTGTGTGTGTGTGTGGTAGGAGAGACGGCACTACAACGTGTGT